AGCCACCCAGGCACCCCTAAAGGGGAATTTAATAGCTATAAATATTATAAATATTAAGAAACAAGAAAGACCTGAAATCAATAACCTAACTTTACAACTTAAAGAACTACAAGAACAGATTAAACCCAAAGGTGAAAAAAAGAAGATGATAATAAATATCAGAACAGAGATAAATGAAATAAATAGGGAAAAAATAGAGAAAACTGATAAAACCAAAAGTTAGTTTTTCAAAAAAATTTTTTAAAAATTGACAAGTTTTCACTAGGTAGACTAAGAAAAAAAGAGAAAACTCAAAGTAATAAAATCAGAAATGAGAGTGGGGACATTATTCTACAAAAATAAGAATTACAAAAGAGTACTATGAATTACAAAAGAGTACTATACACCAACAAATTGGATAACCTAGATGAAACAGATAAAAGTTCAATCAACAATCACAAAACCCATCAAGATTAAATCACCAAGAAATAGAATCTGAATAGTCCTAAAACTAATAAGGAGATTGAATCAATAATTCTTCTCCCAACAAAGAAGAGCCCCAGATCATTAACTTCACAGGTGAATTCTACCAAACATTTAAAGAAGAACCAACACCAATCCTTCCCAAACTTTTCAAAAAAAAAATGGAGAGGATGGAAGACCACTTCCTAACTCATTCTGAGGCCAGCATTACCCTGATACCAAAGCCAGACAGAGATACAAGAAAAGGATAGACCAACAACCCTTATGAATATTGATGTAAAAATCCCCAACAACATAGTAATAATATTTTTAAAGGACTATATACCATGACCAAGTGGGATTTATTCCTGGCATGCAAGTATGGGTCCATACATGGAAACTGATCAATGTAATATGCCACATCAACACAAGGAGGGAGGAAAAAAAAAAAAAAACAGAGGATCACGTCGAAAATCATTTGACAATATTTAACACCCTTTCATGATAAAAAAAAAAAAAACCACTCAGCAAACTAGGAACAGATGGGAATTACTTCCACATAATAAAAACCATATAAGAAAACCCACAGAGGGGTGCCTGGTGGCCCAGTGGGTTAAGTGGGTTAACCTCTCTTCAGTGGGTTAAGCCTCTCTTCAGCTCAGGTAGTGATCTCAGGGTCCTGGGATCGAGCCCCACATCGGGCTCTCTGCTCAGCAGGGAGCCTGCTACCCTTCCTCTCTCTGCCTGCCTCTCTGCCTACTTGTGATTCCTGTCTGTCAAATGAATAAATAAAATCTTTAAAAAAAAAAAAAAAAAGGAAAAGAAAACCCACAGAAAGACTGAGAGCATTTCCTCTAAGATGAGGAACAAGGCAAGGTTGTTTGCTTTCACCACTTCTATTCAACATGGTACCAGAAGTTCTGGTCAGAGCAATTAGGCAAGAAAAAAAAAAAAGGCATCCACATTGGACAGAAGAAGTAAATTTATCTCTGCAGATGATATAATTTTATGTATAGAAAACTCACCATTTATGTGTAGAGTCCACACCTAAAAAAAACAAAAACAAAAAACAAAAAACAAAAAAAACCTCCAAACAACTGTTAGAACTTTGGAACTTAGCAGAGTAGCAGGATACAACATCAACACACAAAAATTAGCCATATTTCTACACATGACAATCTGAAAAGGAAATTACAAAAACAATTCTATTCATAGTAGCATCAAAAAGAATAAAATATTTAGGAATTAACAAAGAAGGTGAAGGACTCATACAGTAAAAACTATAAAACACTGCTGAAATTAATTTAAAAATAAATAAATAAATGGAAATACATCTCATGTTCGTGGATTGGAAGACTTACCAAAACTACTCAAAGAGATCTACAGATTCAATGTAATTCCTATCAAAATCCCAGAGACCTTTTTTTCAGAAATAGAAAAATGCATCCTAAAATTCATAAAAAATCTCAAGAGACCCCAAATAGCCAAAACAATCTTGAAAAAAGAACATATGTGGAGGCCCCATACTTCCTGATTTCAGAACTGACTACAAAGCTACACTAACCAAAACAGTGTGTACTAGCATAGGACAGACATAGAGACAAAGAAAATAGAGTCGTGAACCCAGAAATAAACCCTTGCAAATATGGTCAAATTATTTTGGACAAGCACACTAAGAACATTCAATGGAGAATGTACAGTCTATTCAACAGATAGTGCTGGGAAAACTGAGCATTCACATGCAAAAAAATGAAGGTGGATCCCTACATTGCACCATTTATAAAAATTAACTCAAGGACCTAATCAAGGTATCAAGGTATCAAGGACCTAAATGTAAGACCTACAACAATAAAACCCTTTGAAGGAGACACAGAACGAAACTTCACATTATTGTATTTGACAGCTATTTCTTGGATATGACAACAAAGGCACAGTTAACGAAAGAAAAAAATTTTACATTGGACTATGAAAACTTAAAAATTTTGTGCATCAAAAGACACTATCAACAGAGTAAAAAGGTAACCCATAAAAATGAGGAAATATTTAAAAATCATATATCTGAAAAGGATTACTATCCAGAGTATATAGAGAATTCCTAAAACTCAATAAGAAGAAAAAATTAACAACCCAATTAAAAAATGGGCAAAAGACCTGAACAGGCATTTTACTAAAGATGATACACAGATGGTCAGTAAGCACATGAAAAGATGATCAATATCACTAAACATTAGGGGAATGAGAATCAAAACTACACTGAGATACCACCTCATACCCATTGGGATGGCTATTATAGAAAGAAAACAAAACAAAAAACTGAGAAAACAATAGGTATTGGTGAGGATGTAGAGAAAGTGCGCTTATGTACTCTTAGTGGGAGTGTAAAATGGTGGAATAAGTACAGTGATTCCTCAAAAAATTAAAAATTACTGAAAGATCGAGCAATTTGCCTTGGGGTATGTACTCAAAAGAACTGAAAGCAGGGCTTCACAGAGCTCTTTATACACCCGTGTTTATAGCAGCATTACTCACAATGGCTAGAACACGGAAGCAAACCCAGTCGTTTGCCTCCTCTGGCAGATGAATGGTAAGCAAAATGTGGTACATACATCTGACCTTGAAAAGGAAGAAAAGTGCAACACACTAAAACCAGGATGAATGTTGAAGACATTATGTAAAGTGAAATAAGCCAGTGACAAAAAGATAAATTCTTTTTTTATCTTTTAAAAGATAAAGAAAAGATTCAACTTACGTGAAGTACCCAGACAGTCAGATCATAGAGACAGAGAGCATAACTGTGGCTGTTGGGAGCGGTGGGGAGGGGCGAGTGCGAAGTGACTGGGATGGATGGCAGTTGTGCCGTATAAGCACACGAATGTATTTAATACCACTGTACTGTCTAATCGGAAATTGCTAAGATGGTAAGCTTTATGCTAAATGTTACATTTTGTCACAATAATTTAAAATATTTGTACTATTCACTGTAGGCAACTTCTTTCTCAATTAAAAAAGTACATAAAAAGAAAAAAATCAGGTGGATTATAAACCTAAATGCAAAGGCTAATAAAAATGGCTTTTAAACATAACACATGAGAATACTTCATGAGCTTGACGTATGGAAAGCTTTCTTAAACAGCACACAGAAAGCACTAACCGAAAAGACAAAGATGGGTAAATTATGCTACATTAACAATTAGGAACTTCTTATTTGTCAGAAGACATCATGAGGAGAGTAAAAAGGTAACACAGAGAGGGAGAAGGTCTATGTGACAGGCTTGTAACTGGAGTTTATCAAGATGTCCTATAAATTAGTAAGGGAAAGACAGACCCCTCCATGTGAAAATGGGTAAGAAACCTGAAAAAAGATCTTTTACCAAAGAGAAACTCCTAGTAGGCAATGATGACTTGAAAAGCTATTCCATCTCATCAGTAGTCAGGAAAATAGAAACCAAAATTCTACCGAGATACCATTATGTCCCCACCAGAATGGCTGCTCTGAAAAGCCTGGGGTCCCTATGTAGGTGAGGCTGTGCAATGGCAGGACCCTCCCATGTGTGCTCCCGGTGGTGTGACTTTGAAAAACAACTCAGTGCTGCTTCCAGAAGCTGAGGAGACCATCCTGAGCGCAGGGCCCAGCAGACATGCTCAATGGAGCAATGTGCCATACCCCAGATGCTGTCCACAGTGGGACGCGGGCGAAGGAAGACAAAGCCCGAGCCACACAGGACAGCGGTAGAGCTGAGACTCAGGGTGGAGGGAGTGCATCAGATGACCCCTAACTCATAGTTCCAAAGGAAAGCCAACTTACGGTTTAGGCACTGAGGTGGAAAGGAAACCAAAGCAATAAGTAGTGACTCCAGAAGTCAGGGAAGAGGTTACTTTGGGCAGCGGGAAGGGGTTCTGATGGCGAAAGGGCACACAGCACTTCCGGAAATTTTACACTATGACTCAGGTGATGGTTATACCAGAGCTTCCCTTAAAACAACTTCCGTGAAACATTTTAATGCATTTTTTTTATGCATCTCCATGCACCCTCTGTATTTTTAATTTTTGACATTCATTTTTTAAAATTTTGTTCTTGCTTTTTAAAACGATTTTATTTATTTGGAAGAGAAAGAGAGAGAGAGCATGAGTAGGGGGAGCAACAGAGGGAAAAGCAGACTCCCCGCAGAGCAGGGAGCCTGGAGCCCAATGCAGGATTCGATCCCAGGACATTGGGATCATGACCTGAGCCAAAGGTAGATGCTTCACCAACTGAGCCACCTGGGTGCCCTATTCTTGCTTTTACCAAGAACCCAAGAAAGCCATGAACTCCCCTCACCAAACTACGGGTGGTGTCCCTGTGAGAAGAATCTGACCTTTGAGAAGCCGGAGGACCCATGAAATCCTGTGTGCACCACGGAGCGAGCTCCCAGCTATGTGCCCGTTTAAGGCTCATCAGAGCCCAGTGCTCCCCTGCACATACATCCAAGCCAGGTGAGCGAGGAACGGAGAAGGGGGGGGGAAGGACTTACAGGCAGGAAAGAGCTAACAGGCAGCCTGGCTCTGAAATAAAAACGCACCCCCAGCAGGGCTGAAGTCCTCTCCATCTCTCCTCTGTTCACCCGAATGCTGTGGCTCTCCATCACTGTGATTCAAACACCAAAGCAGATCAAACTTGCATCAATGAGTTATTTCCACGAAAGCCTCCGGGACGGGGAGCAAGACTTACTCCCTGACAAGGACAATAATGACAGTGCCTACTGCGTCCCACCTCCACCAACAATCTGTGAGGGTCAGTGCTAGAGCCCAGCAGTGGCTGTGGGGGCCGCAGGGACACTCCCTGAATGGCCACATGGGATGGAGTCATCTCAGGCCAGCCAGGCTGAGGAGTACTGGGCTGGGCTCGGCTCCCCTAGTGCCCAGCAGGACCTGGGCCAAGTGGGGGCTGAGAGGCAAAGGCAGAGGAGGGCCTGCACCCCCTGTCCTAGGTGCTGTCCCAAGGGGCAGGATTGACAGTACACCACCAGGACGAACAACTGCTGTGCAGAACACGCCACAGGCTCGTTCCACACTGCTGCTCTCAGGAGTGTGGGGCTGCCGCTTGGCCAGGATGCAAAAGGGACCCCATGTGACTGAGAGGTCAGAACTGTCTTATTCTTCTAGATCAACAGGTGATGCTCTCCAACCTCTCTTATTACAGAGAGGGGAATACAGGGCTTGCTGCCTCGAAGCACTCCCATGACACACAGCCCACCCTAATAAGAGAGAAACAGCTGCTCTCAAACAGTGTCAAGAATTCCCTAGAAACAGGACTGTCTGTCATCTTTATGGTATCTTACCTGCCAAAATTGGTATCAGAGGAAGCTCCAAAGTACAAAATAGTTGCCATAAACCATAAACCTGTTTTGTAGGAAGAAATGATACCAATGTTACTTTTAAATTATTTCTGTCTGCACTGGGCTGAACAGCCTACTTGATAGCACTGAGGTGGAATTCAGGCAACTCCCACCCAACAGCCACCCTCCTGCCATCCTCCTTCCTAGTAGAACTCCTATTTCAAATATCCTATTTCCTTACCAAGACCTCATAGAGATATTTAGAAATATCGGGTAGGCCAATTCCCAATTCTCTTTATCTTTCTCATTTTTAAAAATTTTAAAAATATTTTATTTATTTGAGAGAGAGAGAGAGAGCACACACACACAAGGGGAGCAGCAGAGGGAGAGGGAGAGGGAGAAGAAGACTCCCCATAGAGCCAAGAGCCCGACGAGGGGCTCAATCTCAGGACCCTGAGATCAGGACCTGAGCCAAAGGCAGACACTTAACCAACTGAGCCACCCAGGGACCCCAAATCTTTCTCATTTTTAAGTGTGATGTAGGTCTTTTAAACTTTTTTTTATAAAAAGTTTTTATTTTTTTTAATTAAAAAAAAAGATTTTATTTATTTATTTGACAGACATAGATCACAAGTAGGCAGAGAGGCATGCAGAGAGAGAGTGGGGGAAGCAGGCTCCCTGCCAAGCAGAGAGCCTGATGCGGGGCCTGATCCCAGGACCCGGAGATCATGACTCTAGCCGAAGGCAGAGGCCCAACCCACTGAGCCACCCAGGCACCCCGGTATTTTAAACTTTGAATCTTCCACTTAACTTCAGAATAGGTTTACTGAATTCCCAAAAGTGTAGCTAGAATTTTCATTGGTTTTTGCATTGGCTTTAGAAATTAGTGTGGGGAGAGGTGAAATCTTTAGATGAGGTCACCAGGTCACCTCCTCCCAGAGTATGAAAGGTCTCTGCATTTATTCAGACTGTCTCCATGCCTCTTCTCAGGGGTTTTGTCATGTGTGTCCCTTCCTGCTTCCATCCAAAAGCCCTCGGCCTCACCTACACCTCCACCGTGCCCTCACTGGACTCCTCCCGGCCCCAAGCCCTGAACTTTGCCCTCGGGGAAGGGCTGACATGCTCCAGGCCACTACCTGGCTCCTCCTCAGTTCTTGGGCTGCGTCAGTAGGGAAGAAAAAAGGGCTTCCTCTCTCCCGCTGGACCTCTCCCAGGATCCCATAGTCCTGGGCCTGCGGCCACAGCGCTTCAAGCCCAGCTCCTGACCAGCAGCCTCTGCAGGGCCTTGGCTCTCCCCGGAGCCTGGTGACAGCTTCCCCTCCAGGCCCAACGGTGGAAAAGCTTCCAGGCAGTGCCTGTCCCCTGATGCTTCTCTGTCCCTTACTGGCCCTCCACTCCTGGCCTTGCATCCACACACAGTCCCTTCCTTCAACTCTTCTTGACTGTTCCTGTGAATGCCCTCTGCTTCCCAACGAGACTGAGGAGAGCTGTGTCCATCTCACTATTAAACTAAAATAAATGCTCTGCTTTTATGTCAATGGTAACTAGAAACATTCCAGCTGAGGAGCACCTAGGTGGCTCAGTGGTTTAAACATCTGACTTTGGCTCAGGTCGTGATCTCAGGGTCATGATCACAGGGTCCTGGGATGGAGCCCACTCAGTGGGGAGTCTGCTGGAGAATTTTTCTCCTTCTCCATTTGCCCCTCCCCCTACTCATGCACTCCTTTTCGCTCTAATAAATAAATAAATAAAAACTTAAAAAAAAAGAAATATTTCAATTCATTTGGTAGCTTTTTAAAAATGCTACAGTTATTAGCCTACAGAAAACATTTTTTAAAAACTCCAAGTCTGGGGCACCTGGATGGCTCAGTGGGTTAAGGCCTCTGCCTTCGGCTCGGGTCATGATCCCAGAGTCCTGGGATCGAGCCCTGCATCAGGCTCTCTGCTCAGCAAGGAGCCTGCTTCCTCCTCTCTCTCTGCCTGCTTCTCTGCCTACTTGTGATCTCTTTCTGTCAAATGGATAAATAAAATCTTAAAAATAAAATAAAACAAAAATAAAAACTCCAAGTCCTTGGGGCACCTGGGTGGCTCAGTTGGTTAAGCAATTGCCTTCGGCTCCAGTCATGATCCCAGTTTCCTGGGATCAAGTCTCACATCTGGCTCCTCGCTCAGCAGGAGCCTGCTTACCCCTCTCCCTCTGCTGCTGCTTCCTCTGCTTGTACGCTCTGTATCTCTCTCTGTCAAATAAATAAATAAAATCTTAAAAAAAAAAATACCCCTCCAGGTCCCATCATGTGGTCTGTCCCTCTATGAGTGAGGCACAAGTTCACTTGGCCTGAGAATTCACTGCTCTGTTTTCTGCACAGCTGTGAGCATGGATGGGAGTGAAAGATGCTCTTGGGGAACAGTGAGCAAGAGTGCCTGCCGACCCCAAGTTACAACGAGATGCCTTGCCTTCAGCTGGGAGCAAAGGCCCATCGTAAGTCTGTAGAGTGTCTTCAGGTTCACACGTACATTCTGATTCTTTAAAAGATCAGAAAGAATGAAAGATTAGGCAAACTTGCAGCAATGTTCATCGAAATCCAAGGAGGGACACAACCCACAGAAATGGGCACTAGCTAGGTGGCATGAGTCTTTCCATGGCAGACATGACTCGTCAGCGACCTCACCAAATACCTCCCGTGGGCAAGCTCCCACGTTACACAACAGCCTTCTTACCAGGCAAGTGCAAGCTACCTGGAGCCTCTCCCGCAAACCCAGTTTTTTCCTCATTTTGCAGGAATTGCAGAGTGTCCACGGTACAAAGATCACACAGTGGGACAGACAGACACGTACTCCCCATGTGCCCCAGTAGGCTGAGGAGCCACGTGGCCACCCTCAGCATCCGTCCTCACCCAGACGTCAGCCCCAGAGGCCTGAGCGTGGATGATCAGGGCTGCAGCCCGTGACACACAGCCTGACTCTCCTTGCCGGATAACTCGCTCTGCCAAACAACTCCCCACACTCCACTTTTGGCCTCAAGGTCCCAAGCCAGAGAAACCCCAGGATGAGGAGCCAGCAGTGGGCTGATGTAGTCTGGCCTTTGTACTCTCCTCATCCCCAGCCTTAGCTCTCACGCACGACTGGTCTCGGGGCAGAATGTCTACTCCTGCCTGAATGAGCTTCCCACAGGACAGACCTCATGATGAGCCTCCCACTATGAGTGGTTCTCCAGCCGGGGCTCCGCCAGGACAAGACCGAGCTCCAAGGGGGACCAGCACCTTCCCGAAAGAGCCCCTGACACAGCTACCCCTCTACCCCACACCTTCCTTTGCAACCTCACCCTTCCCTCCAGCTCCCGTGCTGCTCCCTTGGCCCAGACTCCCCCTGCATTCTCCCAGATAATTCCCATCACCTCTTCAGCCAGCACAGAGTGGGCCTGGCTCTCCCCTCCCACCCCTCATGCACTGCAGGCCTTCACAGTGGACACATTTCAAGTCAAGAGATTCAAGTGTGAGTGCACAGAGGCTGCTGCTTTTCTTCCTGCAGTGTGCTGAGGGCCCTGGGTGAGGCAATGGCACACGGGCAGTGGTGGGACGGGCAGGGTCCCCAGCACCGTCAGCAGCTGCTCCAGCCTGGGTGCGGGGCCCTGGCTCCTTGACAGGGAGAAAACACCTCTGTGGCTGCTGCTCTGTTCCCTGTGGCTATTCCCGTCCTCAAAAGCACTAGGAAGAAACTAGACTTTAGAGTCAGAAACACACACTTTGAACCACAGCCTCAACTTGACTTTGGGCAATGTGCATGCACATTGACCTTTCTGTACCTTGGTCTTCTCCTCTATAAACTGGAACTGGTAGTGTGGAGGTGGGCACATCCCTATTTCAGGGATAGTGTCTCGGCTGCCGTTTGAGGAAGCTCCCCTCCCAGCATCATATGATCAGTAGAACTCACCTTCATGTCCTACACCCCTGCCAAGGGGCACACATGTGGCACAGTGAGAGAACTCCCTGTGGGTCTTCAACAAAAGTGACAAATGGCTCACTACTGGGCCTGGGGCCTGAGGGCTCGTGTCTTCTGCGGCCTGCTACTGCTTTCCCTCTGAGTCTGTGAGCTCCCCAATATTCCTCTGACACGTCTTCAAATTAAGGGGGAGTAAGTTTCTGCATTTGTACCTTCAAGTCCCCATCTTACTCAGACCCTCCCTCACAGATGGCACAGGATGAAGGGCAGGAGCGAGCAGACCTCAGAGCCCTCACCTCACCAGCCACTCTGCCCCAGTGGTTCCCAGCCCACAGCCAGTACTTGTGCTCCCTGAGTCCCTGTACACTCACCCACTGGTGCGCCTAGCGTGTTGCTGTTGATTTGCACACAGGAAGCCTCAACAGAGTGGCCCAACTGGGGGTCCCCTCCTCGGGGACTTTGCTCCAGAGCCATGAGTACCATGGCTTCTGCAGACGCAGTTCCTAACAAATCGGTGTGTCTCCAGGACAGGCCTTGGGAAGACCCACCTGGACACATGGAGTGAGGTGTGGCCAGAGCCTCTGTGTGGTGGCCGGGCCACCAGCACTATGAGCAGCTCATGGACCCAGAGCACGTGGCTTGCTGACCCCAGAGAGTCCTTTTAGAAGAATCCTGCTGTGAATAGACAGGGAGTTAGTTCCATGAAGGAACAGAAGTCACCCATCCTAATTCAATATCCTCCACCAGAAGCATCAGAGTAAAAAGCATTTGTGCAGAATAAGTGAAAATCAATGTCAGAAATGTTCTTTTTACTACAGGACTGTATGAAGTGGAAGAATTTTCAAGGAAAAAATTCGGGTTGACTAAGTTGGTAAACCCTGATCTTAACACAACTCACCACAACATTTCTTGAGGAATTCCCATATGTGCTGTTCACGTTAACAGAGATGGAGCCTTCAAGGTATTTTGCCACTAAATCTTCAAAAGAGGGTGCAGCATCCCCAGGATCTATAAGCCAGGCAGCAATTCTGGGATCAAGCCCTACAAAATGAACAACTACAAAGAAAAAGGCCATTTAATCACTCCAAAAGAACAGAAGAAGCATCCTTTTCTCAAGGGTCAAAATAATAATAATAGCACTGCCATCTAGTTATGGAGCTGAGTGCCAAAATGATGCTCAACCATTCCTGAGGAACTCAGAGCCTTTGGTACAAGCAGCCTCCACGACCTAGGTCCCACACAGGCAATACCCGTGGGGAACTGACCCCAGACAGCCGAAGAGGGGGACTAAACTAACGTGGAACTGGGACCTCTCACAAATGTTCAGAGGTGGTGATGAGAACCCTTCAGTATTCTTCTGGCCTCCTCTCCCCCACCAGCCCCCCGCCCCTGCTCCCCAGCTTTCCAACCCTGTGCCTCTCACTGGGCTGTCTTCCTAGGTGCTCCTAACCCCTCTTCAGGGTGTCCAGGAGCCCAAGTCTTGTGAGCTGAAGAAAGAGCGTAAGTGTCCTCATTGCCGAGTTCAGGGGTGTGGAGCAGTGGGCAGTGTATGTGAGGACAGAGATGCCTGGCATTTGGGGCATTTCCCCTGATAAGAGGAAAACCTGAGAGACCCCCCCAGATCTCTGCTGCAATGGGATGTGTAAAACAATGCCACCCCTGGAGCTTGGGCTGTCACTGCCCCTAAGTACTAGATTTCTTATCCAAAAACCCAGGGAAGAGGTTACTGTACATCTCTGTGAGACATATGGGAAGATGCTTTGTGAAAAACAAAAACGACATTTGCTAAGTAAGTTTTGGTGCCAGAGAATTTTAAACATGGACAGGCAAGCTATAAAAGGGGGAACTAATAAACTGAGAGATCAATCTGAATTCTAAGCAACTGTGTTTTTAATTTGCTTTACATTTTCTAGATTTATTTATTTATTTTAGAGAGAGAGAGAGCACAAGCAGGGGTAGAGGGAGAGAGAGAGAATCCCAAGCAGATTCTGCACTGAGCATAGAGCCCAATCCGGGGCTTGAACTCAGGACTCTGAGATCATGACCTGAGCTGAAATTAAGACTCGGATGCTCAACCAATAGAGCCATCAAGGTACCCCAAGTTACTTAAACATTTTGAATAATGTTACATAAAAACAAGGAGTTTGCTTTCAAACAAAATTGTAGTCTTAGATCACAACACACTAAATATTATATCCTTTGGCATCTTTAAATTGTGCTTTCTAAGAGACTTCTATTTGCCAATGCATCTGGTATTGTGACTTTTTTATTTGATGTCTGGGAAGTCCCCGACGTTGGCAGGTTTGGAACCTTGGCTGGAACAACATGGGCAAGTGCTCTGGGACCTGCACCCACATTGGCTGCCCATGGTCTGACCCAACACTATGTGGCCATGCTAACTGACCCGGCAGACTAGTTCACTCTGCTTACCTTTTCAGAGCTCTAATGGTCCAAAATTAAGGCCCTGCTAACATTCTTGAAAACTCCTGGGAAAGGTGTGATGGCACGGGAAGGGCCTGGGGGCTGGTTCCTGTCAACTCCCCTGCCTCCCCGCCTCAAGCCCCCAGGACAAGGCCCCACACCTAGGAGAAAATGCCAGTAGTTGAAAGAAAAAGGCCAAAAAGACAGATTTAAAAAGAGCTAAGAAAATCTGAGAAAATGATAAAAGCAATGAAAAAAAAATCAGAACTACAGATACCTGGAAATGAGGGGACTTAGAAAAATAAGAACTGAACAAAGAAATGAAAGGGTTCAGGAAATAAAACAAAAAAAATTCATAAATAAAAACTGAAAAAATAAAAATAAAAGTAAAAGCTGAACTGGTAACACACAAAGGCAAATGATGTTATACAAATGATGGGGAAGAGGGAGATAAAAAAAGAAATGAGAGGGGCGCCCGGTGGCTCAGGGGGTTAAAGCCTCTGCCTTTAGCTCAGGTCATGATCCCAGGGTCCTGGGATCAAGTCCCACATCAGGCTCTCTGCTCAGCAGGGAGTCGGCTTCTTCCCTCTCTCTCTGCCTGCCTCTCTGCCTACTTGTGATCTCTCTCTTTCTCTGTCAAATAAATAAATAAAATCTTAAAAGAAAAAAAAATTCTCTCTCCCACTAAAAAAAAAAGAGAAAGAGAGAGAGAGAGAGAGAGAGAGAGAAACAAGAAGCATATCACACATATCCCAGCTTCAGGGTAACCTAACCCTAACTCTTGTTTGGATCCCAAGTCACACAAACCATAAGAAAATAAAAACAAACACAAACGATATTTAAAGACAAGGGGAGCAGTGCACACACTGACCAGATATCTAGTAACGCTGGAAGGTTACCACTAATCTGGAGGAGATGATGACTGCATCATTTTAAAAATGAAACCCTCATGTTCCATCACATAATTGAAATATTTACAGATGAATCATAAGATGCTTGGAATCTGCTACAAACTAACCCAGGAGGCAGGGGTTTGGAATTGTGAGGAGATACAGAGGAAAGAAGACTGGACATAAGCTGGAAACTGTTGAAGCTGGACAATGGGTAACATGTTGCCTTCCAACACCACCTCTGGTGCCCAGTGAGGGCATCTGACAGTTGGCGCCCCTCTGACACTGGCTATCGTGAGTGCAGAACCTGTAGGCTGAGGACTCAGCCTCACAAGACCACCCCTGCTTCAAATGCCTCCCGTACCTCCCACCCACTGACTATAAATTGGGGTTCCCACGACCTCCTGCTCAGGCTCGCAGAACTACGGAAGCACCTGTACTAACTCATGACCCATGTATCATGAAGGACACAACTCAGGATCATCCAGACAGAAGAGACACGCAGGGCAAGATGGGAGGCAGGGGGCACAGAGCTCCCACCTGGCCAGCCCCCAGACATGCTCCCCAACCTGGGAGCCCTCCAGCTCCCCAATATCCCCTGTGTGGGGGCGGTTTATGGAGGCTCCACTGCCCGGATGCAACTGATGAGATCACTGGCCACTGAGATAGAGCACCTCTCCATCCCTTCTCTGTCCCTGAGGGTGGGGGTGGGGGACTTGAAGTCCAACTGACTAAGCCTGGCATGGTCATTCTATCCACTGCCCCATCCCAAAGCCAACTAGTGGTCCCCAGCTCCTAGTCCTCTCATTAGCACACAAAAGACACTCTTAGCACTCTGGGGATTGCAAGGGTCTTAGAAACCATGTGCCAGGAAGCAGGGACAAAGACTAAATATACGTTTCTTATTGTATCACAGGTAATTTTGTACATGTTGGAAATTTTGTACAATCAAAACAATTTTTTTTTTCCTTAACCCACTGAGCCACCCAGGTACCCCTGTTTCTTTATCTATATATTCTCTCTCCTGTTTTTTTTTCCTATAAATAGCTTATAAATTCCCTATGAATTAAGGTGAAGTCTAGGGGCACCTGGGTGGCTCAGTCAGTTAAGCATCTGCCTTCGGCTCAGTTTTCTGAGTTTTTGAAGAAAACTTTATAAACAGTCTTCTACAGTTTTTCTCTTTTTCCCCTTTGCTTGTTTGTTTCTTCAATGCCACATAGGAGTGAATCATATGGTATGTGTCTTCCTCTGACTAATTTCACTTAGCATGATACTCTAGCTCCATCCACATCATCGCACAAGACAAGAGTCCATTCTTTTTCATGGCTGAGTACTATTCCACGCTGTGTAGGTACACCACATCTTCTCCATGGACACTTGGGCTGCTTCCGTACCTTAGCTGTTGTAAATAATGATGCTATAAGCTTAGGGCTGCATGAATTCCTTTGAATTAGTATTTTGTATTCCTTGCGTAAATACCCAGTAGTGCAACTGCTGGGTTACAGGGTAGCTCTATTTTCAACTTTTTGAGGAACCTCCATGCTGTTTTCCACACTGCCTGCACCAGCTGGCATTTCCACCAGTGCACGACGGTTCCTTTCTCCATATCCTCACCAACACCTGTTGTTTCCTGTGTTGTTGATTCCATCCGTTCCGACAGGTGTAAGGTGGTATCTCATTGTGGTTTCGATGATGAGTGATGTTGAGGACCTTTTCATGTGCCTGGACTTTACTTATTTTTCTTTTTTTAAAATTATTTATTAGTCAGAGACAGAGCACGCACACAAGCCAGGGGAGCAGCAGGCAGAGTGAGAAGCAGATTCTCTGCTGAGCAAGGAGTCCGATTCAGGACTCGATCCCAAGACCCTGAGATCATGACCTGAGCTGAAGGCAGATGCCCAACCGACTGAGCCACCCAGGTGCCCTTAGACTTTAGTTTAATTCGTAGGGAGTTTATAAGCTATTTATAGTAACAACACACCCCATCTGACCACGCTGCATAAGTCACTTCTTTCTTATTTTAAATTTTAAAAAGTAATATATATTTGCAAAAAATCAAACAACCTAAAACACAGAGGGAAAGTGCCCCCTCACCCTTGGGGCACAAGGCTGCACAGCTGGGGCTTTGGAGCCACGTAGCCAGGCCCCCAGAGTTGTGTTGTCCCTGCCTCCCCCATGTCTCATTCTCAGGAGGAATCACTGCTGGAGAGTTCAATTTAAGAGATTATAAAAACTAAAACTTACCATGCTTCCAGCTGCCATCATTACCAAAACACTGTAGTACTGTTCGCACAAAGTCCTTGGCATTAAAACAAATAACAGGACATTTACATTTCAGCATTTGAAACAGAACTTTCCTGGAAGATGAAAAGAAAGTCACTGATTCAGACATTAATTTAGAATTTCTGACCTTAGAGAAAAATAGTTTTGTTGCTCTACTGACAGGTATCACTTGCTAGTACTACCGTGTAGACATTCTTCTTCTAAGATGCTCATGGAGATTAACTGGGATCTTGTGGGAAGGTGTTACTTCTCTGCACTTAGAGATGATGAAGCTGAGACAGGCCGCCCAGCTGTTCAGAGCCCATCCCTGCGGAAAGTCACATCTCGAATTCCTGATTGGAGCACACACACTCTGGACCCCTGACAGGCTCCCCAGCATGGCTCTCTAGCCTGCTCTCCCAGCACATGCTGCCAACACTCTGCCCTCTGCTCCCACTGAATCGTCTTTCCTTTACCAGCACACAGTGCCACATCTTCTCACAGTATGGGGCCACACCACATGCAGCATTCTTGCCTGCAATTCTCCTCCTGCGATTTCTGCAAACTGCCCCTTTCGCATGCAGGGGGTTGCCCCTTTTCTATTCCTTCTCTACTCCTGTTCATGTACCAGCCGCAGCCAGGACCACATCTGTACGTAATTTACCTTGAAAGTAGGCTTGCCCCATAGCACTGTGAGCTCCTCGGATATGGGATTCTTAAGAGTCGTCATTTACAGCACTAACCATGACGACACCATGCAAAACACTTCAAAGGACTGCTAACACTGAAATCTCAGCACAACCCTGTTAGGCAGACACTAGGTCCACTTTACAGACAAGGAAACTGAGGCTCAGAGTGGCTAAACAATTTTCACAGCAAGCCCCTATCTTGCTGCTGCCAGGACCCCCACTATAAATCTTCCTTTATAGGAACTCTGTATTCGTACATTAATGAGGGTCTTGCATGAGGCTGAGGGAGAACAAAAGCAGGAGCCCACTCAGCTCTGCACACAGAGCCGGCAGAGGGTAAGAGGTTAGATTCTGTTCTGCCTGCTGCACGGGCATCGGCATTTTCTTGTGTGGTTTCATGGGGGTTTCCCTGGAAGAGGGGGCCCGGCCGGTAGGGAGGCCAGAGGGTCTGGCTCTACAGACTTGGAAGGGTGCAGGGAGGAGAGAGGGGAGAGGGGCTGGAAGATTTCAGGTGCGAAGAGCTGCGTTTCCACACTGATGCCTTTGTTTGCTGCAGAGTCCCTACTCAGGTCACCTAAGAATTGCGGGATTGCCCACTAGTAAGAGATGCAGGCTAGTGGGTTTCTATCTCAAGGTAAGACAAACAACAAAAAGAGCATCTTGTAAGACAAAGTGGCTGAAACACAGTGTGTTTTGTAAGTCAGTTATGGAAGTCGATTGTGTCATGTTTGCAAACAAAAAGGCAGCCAGGATATAAAAAAGCTAGACTTGAGTCTAAAAGAGAAAGCCTGAGCGGAAAGCTCAAGACTGACTAACGGCTATTTCTTGAGTCTCAGTTCCATCATCTATAAAATGGAACTAACAAGACCCAACATGTACAGTTAATGTGAAGACGAAGAGACTGCGGGTGTGTACGAAGACCTTGCATGGGTTTGCAATAAATGCTATTCGATACATTTTGTATAAAAAAGTTATGTGTTTTCATTTAAATGTGATTTATTTAAATTCATTTTATTTTATTATTTTTTTAAGATTTTATTTATTTATTTGACAGAGAGATCACAAGTAGGCAGAGAGGCAGGCAGAGAGAGAGGAGGAAGCAGGCTCCCTGCTGAGCAGAAAGCCAGATGCGGAGCTCGATCCCAGGACCCTGAGCTCATGACCTGAGCTGAAGGCAGAGGCTTCAACCCACTGAGCCACCCAGGCGCCCTATTTAAATTCATTTTAAATCTCCAACATACTATCATGGAATTGGGATTATTACTTCCAATTTTATGGTATGTGAAACCATGTCTTCATATAATTGTCTTGGAACTCACAAAAGTTATACCTTAATATTCATTAATCCAAAAATACAACTGAATAAGTATTTGTGAAGCACACGCTTCACAAATTGTCCTTGGCTTGTGGAGACACAGGAATGAGCAAGACATAAAAATCCCTGGCAACGGGGGCGGCGTTTTGCATACATGCACCTCAGGGGGGATGTGGGCGGTGGGCGCAGGGCGGGGTGGGGGAGCACTGCTGTGCACAGTGAGCAGGGAAGGCCCGCGGACCATGCTGTAACACCACAGCGGACTTGAGGGGTAAGGTGAACAAAAGTCCTCTTGAAGAGGGAAAGTTCTCTACAGAAAATTTTACCCGATACATGTGGAAGAAATGATAAACACAGAAAAAATCACCATCTTCTGGGAGTACTTAAAAAGCGATTTCAACGACCACCATGGGGACGTTCACAACAGAGAGAGCACGCTGACACCATTCAGCCCACGGCTCCATCAGAACATCACAGATGTGAGGACAACATGACTTCATCGCAAAAGGTAGCCAGATCTAGGGCAGGGCGCCCAGCCAAATGTGACGTTCAGAAAAATCGTAGATAAAATTTTTATCTGAAAAAATATAGAAATTTTTTTAGAGATGTATGCCTATAGTGTAAGAATGTTTCTTCCAACACTTGGGACATAATTATACTAAAAAATTGTTTATCTGGAATGCAAACTTAGCATCCTACATTTTTATTTGCTAAATCTGACCATCCAGCTGCACCACAGATGGGGCGTGAGGTGGGCAGTACCACCCAGGGAAGTGCCCTCGAGACAAGAGCTGGAGCAGGATAATGGGGCTTGCAGGATGAAGATCTAGTCTATAGACATATGGAGGAAAGGGAAACAAGTCAAGGAACCCCACAATCACAAAACAGGTAAGCCCAGGACATGGGGCCTCCTGCAAGATGGGGTCAGAGGTCGGAGACAAGAAATGGCACACGTGACCGTGCTGGTCCTGATCCCAGTAGATCGAGTGTAGGGGGACATTTAAAAACATTCAGGTAACCTGAAATGTGGACTGAGTATTAAATTTGCTAAGTCTGAGAACAGCACTGTGTCCAGGTGAAGAAGAGCCCAGGTGTTTTAGAGCTGCCTCCTGAGCCCTGGGAGCTAAAACAACTGTCTGGGATTTTCCCTAATCCCTGTTCCCTACCCCTCTCCTCGAAAAGGGGTAGATGAAGGAAGCACAGAAAAACCTTTGGTAACTGTTTGGTCCCGAATGCCTGTGTATACAGGGCTCATTACAATCCTATCTCTAGACTCAAGTTTTCATAGTTTGCTTTTTGTGTTTTTGGGGGGTTTTTGATTTAGAGGAATGGGGCAGCACACCCTGTGGACCCCTGGGAGCAGAATGCAGGGTTGGGGGAGAGTGGCACAAGGAAGTCCCTCCGGGAGAGCAAGGAGGCTGGGGTGCAGTGAGAGCAGGGGAAGAGGAGCTCCCAGGCCTGGGGAAGGGCCATGGGCAGACCTGCAGGCATCGTTGGGAGCTGTCGCAGGGCTCTGAGTAGGGAGTATGTGCCCTGACTTAATGCGCAAACCCTCTCTGGGAGCCGGGTGGAAAACAGGCCAAGAGGCAGGTGGAGGCAGCAGGCCCTTGGGAAGCCCCTGCCTGGTTCAGTGTCAGGGGGAGCAGGGGAGGCCTGCACCACGTGGGGAGTAGCAGAGGGCAAGGGCGGTCAGCGGCTAGCTGTACTGTGAAGGCAGAGCCAGTGGGGTATACTAAGAGCTTGGATGAAAATAAGAGAGAAGTTAAAGAAAATGCCAAGACTATTGGCCTGAGCTCATGGAGAGCAAATGCTGACATTAACCTTGACCACAAAGGCTGTCGGAGGTGGGTTTCAGGAAGACAGGAGCTCTGTTTTGCACATGTTGAGGACTGTCAGATGTCCAAGTAAAGAGCACTGAGTGGGATACATACATCCAGAATTCAGAAAAGGCCGTCCAAACATTAGGACTATTCCCACGGAGGTCTTCCACAGAATAGGCCTGCCTAATTGCTCTTTCAAAAGAGAACAATGTAAAAATAAGGCTATGGGTGGGGCGCCTGGGTGGCTCAGTGGGTTAAGCCTCTGCCTTCAGCTCAGGTCATGATCTCGGGGTCCTGGGATCGAGTCCCGCATTGTGTTCTCTGCTGGGCAGGGAGCTGCTTCCTTCTCTCTCTCTCTCTCTCTCTGCCTGCCTCTCTGCCTACTTGTGATCTCTCTCTGTCAGATAAATAAAATCTTAAAAAAAAAAAAAAAATAAGGCTATGGGTTTCCTGCAAGTAGGCTGCTCTATTAGTCATATGTTGTCCCATTCTCACCAAAAATTACTGCAGTACAGGTGCCTGATGTTAAGTTTATGATTGTTGAGGCACTCATTTCAAAAGATATCCATATTGCCTGCTGCATGACAAGCCACTGGCAAAACACCCAAACAAGGAACAAGGCCACCCCCACTTGTGAAGGTCCCCCTCCAGATAGGCCAGGGGCATCTAGACACCTGACCTGTGACTGATCTTGCTTTTCCTTTCCTGAACCCTAACTCCCACTTTTAGGACTTCTATTAGCCAATAAAAGTAAAACCTTGAAACCCCCAGACCCCCATCCTCACACTGTACTAAAGGCAAAGCCTCAGGCCTGCACCCTCTCTTTCTCTAGCTATGACTTTGCTGTGTGGCCCCTGGTGTGCTGTGTACCCTCTAGGGCCTGTGAGTAATGAATCTTGTTCCTCAGAGTTCCCTGATGGTTTTTGCTGAATTGTGTCCTGTGATGCTAAGAACTCTAAGGGTTGGGCCAGCCACAGCACTGGCCCCTGGCACTCCTCACCGAGACAACAGTGATGCCGCAACTGCCTACAACTCCCCCATGGCCCAGTGAGACTGTAGGAGGACCACAGGGCCAGGCCCAGACCCCATCTTCTCACCCCGAGGCCCTGAGGCCCCGTGAACACCTCTTCCGGACAGCAGTTTTGAGGATCTCCCACTAAGCAGCTAAGGGGCTGGGACTCGGAGGGCTGGGCAGGCCCGAAGTGCATGTCCCCACCCAAGACAGAAACCCCTTCAGGCTGACAACTCCTGCTAAGAGCTGTGAGGAGGGCAGTGGCTGGAATCCACAACAGGGCTTTTCAGGATCTCAACGCGGCAGCTCAAACATCCCGCTCATTCTAAAATTGTCCCATTCTAGGGGCTCCTGGGTAGCTCAGTTGTTAAGTATCTGCCTTCTGCTCAGGTCGTGATCCGAGGGTCCTGGGATTGAGCCCCACATTGGGCTCCCTGCTCCACAGGAAGCCTACTTCTCCCTCTCCCCCTGCTTGTGTTCCCTCTCTCAGTCAAATAAATAAATAAAATCTTAAAAAAATTGTCCCATTCTAAAGGGGCAGGTCCAAGTGAGCTATATCCTTACTATTTCCACAGAATGAAGCTTTGAAACTAGCATGAAATTAGGTGGTACTGAGGACAATTTACTTTCTAACACTGTAAGGCAGTGAGATAAGGAAAATCATTTGGGACTGTGGTCACAGCAGCAGATCTTCAGGCCTTGGGACCAACCTTTTCTCACTAACTTCTCATTGAGATGTTTCAAATCCTGAAGGGGCTCCCACAGAAGGACAGACCCTTTATTCCAGAAGCTCTCTGAGGGAAAGCAGGCCAGTGTGTGCAAAGCTTTCTGTCATTTAGATCCATTTTATTTTCACGTACCCATACAAAACTTCTAAATTTTAAATAATTCGAGCTTGGGAGACTTTCAATTGGACTCAACGAAGCAGACATGTACACAGGAAGTAAGGCAGTGGGAGGAGATTTCTGACCTGGCAAACTGATTATATACTTCTTGCTCTTGGCCCCCAGTGGAAGACTGCTCTGTTTCAAGGTAGATATACTGCTCATGGAGTGTGAGGCCTTCCCCCAGGACACTGTCAGAGGCTGAGACCTCCAGAAGACCGCTGCCGTTTATACGGCTCTGTAGTAACACTGCAATTCCTTTAACAGAGGGAACCAGAGCCTGTGAATACAAATACAGTTTCCAAATTAAACACAATGTATTTATTCAAGAAATGTATGTCTTACAATTAAACAGAGAGAAAAGGTCTACAATTAAATTTGTAAATAAAAAGCTCTCGTAATGACAGTCAAGGCCAAAAACCAAACCCATGATCTTACTCTTCAAATCTGGTCTCCTCCCTAGTCAACATCATAACAGAAGCCTTAGCCAGTGTAACACAATGGGAAAAGGAAATAAAAGGCATATAAATCAGAAATGAAGAACTATATCATCCCTATTTACACATGACACAAATGTCTGCATAAAAACCCAAAGGAATTGGGGCACCTGGGTGGCTCAGTAGGTTAATCCTCTGCCTTCGGCTCAGATCATGATTTCAGGGTCCTGGGATGGAGCCCCGCATCGGGCTCTCTGCTCAGCGGGGAGCCTGCTTCCCCCTCTCTCTCTGACTGCCTCTCTGCCTACTTGTGATCTTTCTAAAAAAAATAAAACAAACCCAAAGGAATTAACAAAAAACTCCTGGAACCAATATGAGAGTTTAGCAAGGTTGCAAGAAACAAGATTAAAACACAACATCAATTGTATTTCTACACACTCTCAGTGAACATGTAAAATTGATCTTTTTCTAAAAAAAATATATTACCGGGGGTGCCTGGGTAGCTTAGTCCGTTAAGTGTCTGATTCTTGACTTCGGCTCAGGTAATGGTTTCAGTGCTGTGAGACTGAGCCCCGCATCAGGCTCCATGCTGGGTATGGAGCCTGTTTAAGATTCTTTCTTTTTCTCTCTCTCTCTTCCCTTCTGCTCCAACCCCCACACGTGTGCACACATGTGATCTTTTCCCCTATTCTATTATAAATAAATAAATTTCAACACACAAGAGGCCGGTCTGTGCCCCTTATCTCACACCACACACAAAAATGAACTCAAAGCGAGCCACAGATTTTAACGGAAGAGTGAAAACCATAAATTCTTAAAAGAAAACAGAAGTAGGGGCGCCTCGGTGGCTCGGTGGGTTAAGGCCTCTGTCTTCGGCTGGGGTCATGATCCCAGGATCCTGGGATCAAGTCCCGCATTGGGCTCTCTGCTCGGCGGGGCGCCTGCTTCCTCCTCTCTCTCTGCTTGCCTCTCTGCCTACTTGTGATCTCTGTCTGTCAAATAAATAAATAAAATCTTAAAAAAAGAAAACAAAAGTAAATCTTTAAGATCTGGGATAGGGAAAGCATTCTTAAATATAAAACAAAAGTGCAAGCAATAGAAAAAATTAGTAAATTGGAATTCATCGGATTTTAAATTTTGTGTTTCAAAAAACATGAGTAAGAAATTGAAAAAAATAAGCCACAGATTTGGGGAACTAATCACAGACCTGACAAGGGACTCATATCAGAATATAGAAAGAAGGCTTACAGATCCAAAATAAGACACAAATAACCCAATTTAAAAATGGGCAAAAGATTTGAATAGACATTTCACCACAGAGCACATGAGAAGATGTTCAAGGTAATTAGTTATTAGGGAAATGCGATTTAAAACCACAGTGAAATAGCACTTCACACCCACTAGAACGGCTAAAACCAGACAGACAACAAGGATTGGCAAGAAGGTGGAGGGCTTGGAACCTTGGCGTGTTGCTGCTGGAATGCTTAAAAAGGCATCCCCACTCTGGAAGACATTTTGGCAGCTTCTTAAAAATCTGAAGAGAACTATGCATTACCAGTCACTCAGCCCTGGGCGGGTGGGGGCTTCAAATCTTATTCATAACTCTCTTATCAAAATCAGACACTAAGAAAACCGGGTTTTTTTATGGTGCCAAAGAAACAAACAAAACCCAACACTGTTCACTAACCTGCTCAGCTCTTAGCTGGGTTGAACCATCCTCATACATCAGCGTTATGACCATGGCCACTGCCTGTTTGAGCATCTCAACCAGCTGGCTTTTCTCCAAATCATCCAAATACCTAATGTCACAAAAATGGTCTCCACATGCCCTTGCATTCCCACAGTGTAAGTGGGCTTCAACCTCATCAGCATCTTCTTCCAATGCCACATGTTTACTTGTTTTCACTAAAAAATGACATGTACTACATTTTCTTTTAAGATTCATGGGCATTTCTTTCTCTTCATTATTTTTATTTTCCTTTAGGAAATGCTTTCTTTTATACTCTGTTTTCTGTAGGACTGAAGCCTCTTGGTTACACTGTGGAATGAAACAACTGGGAGGAGCCAATGAGCTGATGTTCTTCTGGTTTCGGTCAGCTGATGGCTGATCTGTGATTCTGATACTGGAGGTGGGAAGACAGAGCTTGATGGACACACCTGACGCCTGGCTTGTAGAGGAATTAAGATTCTGTAGAAAAACATGAAATGTTTCACTAGAATGTAGATTCTTTTTTTTTTTTTTAAGATTTTTATTTATTTATTTGACAGGCAGAGATCACAAGTAGGCAGAGAGGCAGGCAGAGAGAGAGAGGGGGAAGCAGGCTCCCCGCTGAGCAGAGAGCCCGACGCAGGGCTCGATCCCAGGACCCTGAGATCATGACCTAAGCCGAAGGCAGAGGCTTAACCCACTGAGCCACCCAGGCACTCCTAGAATGTAGATTCTAAAGACAGATCTACAAACCAAACTAATTTCTGGTAAGCTTTGTCTAAGGTAAAGTGGGGACAAGCTTCACATTATCTGTAATCAAACTTTCTAAGGAAACGATATAGTAGCTCTAGAGCAGTAATTTTTCTCAGCCCAGGTAGAAGTGTGTATCTGAACCATGGGCTGGAGTAAACAGGAGTCCCAGAAGTCTCTAGCCATACCCGGAGCACGTAACGATAGGTGCCATGGATGGGAGGATGTCTCAGATGTGCCCAACGCTCAAGACGAGTAATTTACAACTTCCAGGTAAAGGTCACTTACAAAACAAATGAAATCACCACAACTATTTGATAATATGTTCCTCTGTTTACTAACATTTTTAAAACTATAGCTCAACAGCAATCCCCTTCCTGTCTTGATCTAGTACTGTGCAATATTCATTCATAAAATTCACAAACCGAGGGTAAAAAAAAGAATCTCTACCCATCTCATTACTGTATTCATTTAGAATAAAATGTGTATTAAGAGCTTATTTTTCAGATTTGTGTTGTATTTGTTTTAAACAAATGTATATATATATATATATATATTTTTAAAGATTTTATTTATTTATTTGACACAGAGAGATCACAAGTAGGCAGAGAGGCAGGCAGAGAGAGAGAGGGAAGCAGGCTCCCGCTGAGCAGAGAGCCCGATGCGGGACTCGATCCCAGGACCCTGAGCCGAAGGCAGCGGCCTAACCCACTGAGCCACCCAGGCACCCTAAACAAATGTATATTAATAGAACTTTAAAAATAATTTCAGAGGAAAATGTTTCAGTATTTGGCATATGGTCACAGAAAATTTAAGTTTATACTCCTGTTTTAATTACAGAGAAATATTACATGGTTTCAAGAAAAGACTTCGAAGCATAAAGTTATATTATGTTAATAATTCTGCAGAAGAGGATACAAGAAAAGGAGTTTGAAGAGCAAAAAGGAAATACAAAAATCTAGATTGCTGAAGAATATCTTGCTCATGTTGTTTTTAAAGGGATGCTTGTGGGTATTAAGCTACCAGAGTACAGTATTTTCTAGTGGTTTTATTTTAATGACAATGTAATCATTTTTAAATGTCAATGCTGTCAATACACCAGGAATTATATACTGTGAAACATTTTAAACTTGTTCTGAATATTTTAAATATCAACTTAAAAATGTCATGAGGTGGGGCACCTGGATGGCTCTTTGTTAGGCGTCTGCCTTTGGCTCAGGTCATGATCGCAGGGTCCTGAGATCGAGCTCTGCACCAGACTCCCTGCCCAGCTGGGAGTCTTCTTCTCCCTCTTCCTCTGCCTGCCCCTCCCCTTGCTTGTGCTCTCTCAATCTGTGTCAAATAAACAAAATCTTTAAAAAATATATGTCATGAGGTATATGCGCTTTTTGAAATTCTTTTGTGAGAAAAGCAGCAAAACGATGGTAAGCCGGTGATGGGAGGGCCACGCCAGAGCAGCACGGAGAGAAAAATCTCGCTGGCCTCTCCCCCAGCTTCAGGGCAAACCATGATCCTGTCAACCCCGAGGTGGATCCTGCCATCCCCACTTTACCACAGGGAGTTTCAGTCAGACTGAGCTAGGCAAGGCTTTGAACACAAGCAGTTTTTGCCCCAGAACCTATTCTCTTGGCCACTGTGTCTCCCGTACAAGGTCTCTGGTGAGATGACCTCTTCTTTCCCCTCCCCTCAGGCCCACACTACACAGCTCACCCATGGAGAGTTGTGTCCATTTCCTTCTGAAACTTCTCTGCATTTCAGCTGTCCCACAGCCCCAGCTTTCTTCCTAACCTAAACATTTCTGCCAAGTCCCCTCCCACTCTCTAAAGGTGGGGCTCCTGATCATCCTGTAGATGCCGACTCAGGCAGAATTTTCACACTTCAGGAGGATTCCCAGACTACGTTCCCCCCTCCCACCCAGGAAAAAAAAAAAAGAGCACAAAAACTGGGTGAGTGGTCTCTCCTACTGTCCTGGGACTGACCCCTACCATGGCACCCAATGCACCATCCTGAGGGGTCATGGCACTTTTGTGTCTTTCCCTCCCCCATCCAGCAAGTTCAACTGTGAGCTCCTGGAGAAGAACTCCATTCTTGATTTTCTGAAGCATGGTAGCCACAGTGCCTAGCATACATTAGACACTTAATAAGCATGTGTTGAACGAGTGAACGTTATTTAGAATTAATCAAATTTACAATGATTTACCCTTTTTTCCAGTGATTGGTTCTCCTTTTCAAGAAGTACTCTATACTCATTACAGGAACTGTTTACCACTTCTGCAGCTTCTAAAAACACAAAAAGGAAACGTGCATTAAAGAAACATTGAATCTAAGTCATATAATTAGCTAAACATTGAAAGTGGCCTCTACAACCATGTCACTTACTCATTATTTACTTACGTAAAACAGTGAAATAAAATTCAGACCCAAAATGTATACTACCATTGCAATAAATATTTATGTAACATACCTTCAAATTATCTGGAGACAGAACCACATAATCATGACACATTTATTAGAATTATTACTTGGTATTTCCACTGAATACTGGAGTCTGAAAACCCAAGTTCAACATTTTGTGGAAACCTTGAAAGTATTAAAGGTTTGAGGAAATTCCTATAATGAATAATATTGCAATGGAACAATTAGAGGTTCAGTAAAGCATCATTAATACAAACTTCTCTTTTAAATTTTGTTTTAATATTAATAAGCCTGGGCTGAACAGTAAGTGATGGAACCACATTCAACCCCAGGCAACATGACTCAGGTGTTCGTGCTCTTAGCACTGTGATTTATGTTCCCTTTACAGCAACAATAACAACCAAGGAATGCAAACAGCGGGAATCTTTGCAATAGAAAGAACGTAGGATAGGGGCGCCTGGGTGGCTCAGTGGGTTAAGCCTCTGCCTTCGGCTCAGATCATGATCCCGGGGATGGAGCCTGGCATCGGGCTCTCTGCTCAGCGGGGAGCCTGCTTCCCTTCCTCTCTCCCTGCCTGCCTCTCTCTCTGCCTGCCTCTCAGCCTACTTGTGATCTCTGTCAAATAAATAAATAAAAATCTAAAAAAAAAAAAAAGAAAAGAAAGAACGTAGGATAAATTTAACAAAAAGGCATGAGGCACTCGATGAAAAGTTAAAATCTCATAAAGTGGCATAAAACTAGATCTCTACAAATGGAAAGACATAGCATCCAAATGGGCACAAAATGTCCAATTCTTCCAAAATCAAATTTAATGCAATTCCAATTAGAGACCCTACAGAGCTCTTTCAATTGAAAAAAATGTCAAAGTGCATATGAAATATTAAATATTTGAAAACAGACACGAAAGGTAAGTTAAAAACCAATAAAAGGCTCGCCTTGCTGGATTATCAGAACATACTCTTTAGCCCCTGCAATCAAATTCATGTTGTATTCAAATAGGAAGAGTCAAAAGATTTCTAGAACAGAATAGACAAGGCAGAAACTGACCCAAGGCTTTATGAGACTCTACTACAGAACAAAGATGGCATCTCAATCCAGTAGAAAACAACAGATTAATAAATAGGGATAGCAGCACTGCTTCTAAAGAGCAGAACACACTGGGAAAACTGTTTGGAAGAAACATGATAAAGGGATGATATCTGTGTTTTACAGAGAGTCCTTAAACACTGGCAAAAAAAAAAAAAAAAGACAATTCAATTTTAAAAATTAGCATAAGATAGGAAGAAGCAGTACACAAATTAGCAAATCCAAGAAACAAACATGATATAATACTCAAACTCACTAGTGGTCAGGGAACCAACCAGAAATGGACGGAAAATGTAGTTTCAGGCATTGCTGGTAAAAATGTGAATAGCTAGAATCTTTGTGGAAAGCAAACTGTCAATACCTATTGAAATTAAAAACAGGCATCATTTGTGAGAGTTGGCAAGAGGACTGCCCTAAAGGGGGCAAAGACAGGCTTCCAGGTTGCTACTAATGTTCTGTTTCTTGATCTGCGTGAAGGTTACAGGGGTGTTCGGTTTGTGAAATGTAGAGTTACAAACTCAGAACATGTGTTTTGTGTGTAGAATGTACGTATGTATGTGTGCGTGTGTGTGTGTGTAATCTCAATAAAAACAGAGGTATGAAGTATATAAATCATCTAACCAAACAACCTCACTATTGGCTGTTTCATAGAAACACATGCAACAGTAAATAGTTCTAAACCAATACATCTATGGCAGTGTATTGGTTTATGGCAAAGGACTGAAAGCAAAGTAGATACCAATCAAGAGAGAAGGTGATGAATAAATTATGTAACATCTACACCATGAAGCACACAGCCACTGAAAAGAATGACTTAGAGCTTTATTGGCTGCCTTGTAGATGCAGAATCTGTGAAAATATCTCATTTTTGCAACCCATGACCGAATCTCCCCATTTTTTATGTATGTTATACACACACAGTGGCACAGGCCTGGTCCCCAGGAGGCTGACTCTGAAGTGGTTTGCATTTGGAAAGGTTATTGGGGAGTGCTCTCAGGATCAACGTGTACAAGAGCATGACAGGAGGACCGGGCGTCACTTCAGAGGCCTGCTTGTGACCTGGGTGGCCTGTAGTTATCCCCCAGTGGGTCAAGGGGGCGGGACTTTATAAGCCAGCACCAAGCAGTCATTGTGTCGGTTGCCCCTGGGAAAGGAGTGTGCAGCTGAGACAGCCACCCAGAGAGGCTGTGTTGTGAGCAGACAGACAGGCAGACACTCCCAGCTGGTGGGGTGACGAATGGCTTAGTGCTAGTGCGGGAGCCTGGGCATCCACAGTGCTCAATGCCGTCCTCTGCTGTACCGCACCGCTCCCAGCCACTTGAGGCAGATACGTTTCTGAAAGCAGCTCCTTCAGGATTCTGGTGGGCCTCTGGCTGGGGGAAACTTTTAAAGGGAAGGTTAATGGGATGACCTGCGTTCCCTGGTCACAGCAGCTAGTCTCAAAGCTATAAAGGAGATTCGTGTCCCTGCTCTAATGCACATTCTAGAATCCCCTCAACCTGGCTTAGCACCTCTGCTGGTCTAGGTGGCTTACCCGACCGATGGAGTTACCCAAACCTCTCATCCCTGAGAGGTGTAAGCTCCTGGCCACCATGGTCACTGCACTGGCCATGAGATTTGGACAGAGGACAGAGGTGACCAAGTGCATGCTCTCCTGCACCATCATGTAACAGCAACCCTGACTTCTGATAACCAGGACGCACCCCAAGCAGGGTGCAGATCACACAACCTGCCGGCCAGTCTCTTGGCCTAAGACTATTAAAAGGACAAGGCAGCAGCTGCAGCTTCAAATTAAATGGTATTCTTCCTGTAGCCCCGGGGGACTTCCCCTCTGACAGTAAGCCTCATTCTGCAGAACCCAGAGGTATTGGGGGAGAGACAGATGTATTGACTGGAGCCCTGGAAGTGATGATAAGCCGGACCACTTCCACATCCCCCTTTTGGTTTGTAGGCCCCTTAATTACACATACTGGGGACACCACCCTCTGGAGGGAACTCCTCCACGCTGCACCTACTACAGGTTCCTCCATCAGGGTGGTGTTGCTGGGTGTGTGGCTGAAGGAACCCTTGGGTCCCAGTCACGTGCCCACTGCAGCTCCCTTACTGTGTAGTGGGTGCCCACGTCCAATGCAATGCTTGTGGGACTGTCAGTGGATCAAAGGCTCTGAGCCTTGGATCACAGGGCTGAGCCCTGCAAACGGGAAAGGGAAAGCCATGCCTGGAATGGGTCAATGCACCCTTAGGGGGACAAGAGGTTCAGTGTCATCAACTTGCCACCAAGTGACAGTTTCCTCAAAGGATGCTATTACTATGGTGTTTGGTCTGTTGTTGGAAGGTTGGACACTCAGCAGAGGCAGTAACTAGATCAGCCCTGGTAAGTGCGAGCGCAAGTGGTTGGGTGCAGGCGAGGCCTCCACCCCACCCCATGGCCACTCGAGAGCCCCAGGTGCTTGTACTGGGACAGCAGGTGACAGGCTAGTGCATGACATGCAAGTCATTCCCACTGTTTATTCCTTCAACTCTCTACCTCACGGAGCTGCTCTGTCTGCTTTACTGTGTATAGTTCTTTACTCCTTGGTAGCTAATCCCCTTACTAGCTAACATGCTGTACCTTTCTCTGTTCAAATTACCCTACGGTTTGTTTCACCTGACTGGCGCATGTCTCATGGGCTTCAACAGGCCCAACTGGCCCTTCTTGACTAGGCTGCTGACTTAATGGCCAGGAGAGAAGGAGGCAAAAATTCCTCCTTCTACAACAAGCATCCGTACAATATTCAGCAATGGTGGGAAAATGAGACACTGCCTTAACAGAGGAGTAGACACTTCTGCATGCCCCAGAGGCATCTGGGATTCAGGATTTGAACATGCCGATCCACATGTCCCCATGCCAGATCTCAGGGTCTGGTCCCTCTTCCTGATCAAGGCCCTGACCTTGAGGTAGCACACCTGCCTGGGCTGAGAAGCCAACCTTTTCTAGAGCTCTCCAAGTCTCAGGACCAAGGACTGGTCTGTGGCTGTGAGTGGTCTCTTTGTAGACTCCCAGGGAAGCCCCGATACCACATTTAGCCTTTAACCGCTAATCACTCTCAACCCTTGTCTTTTTCCTAAGGATTTATTATTCCTAGCCACAGCCACCAATACCATTGTCTGCCACACCATCCATCCCCAAAGTTGCAACTGCACTGCTGCCAGTGCTAGTCTGCCTACCACCTGTGATGGTCATCGGTGCCAGTCAAACACCACAACACTGCATGTGCTCAGACCACTCCTGGCACCAACAGTAGCAGATCAGGTTCCCGGGAACGAGACTGAGCTTCGCCCACAGGAAGTTGATGGGGGGATGGAAGGACTGAGTGAAGGGGATGCTCCCGTACTGTACCGTTGCAAGAAGACCTCAGTCAACCCCACTGTAGGCGGAGAGGGGTCTGGGTGGCACAGCACAGCTACATATGCAAGCTAGAAGTAGTCACAGAAAGAAATGGACAAAAACATAAAAGGGACCAACTAAGTTTATTAGCTTGGGTTAGTAACAAGGGGAGGGTTCAACAAACACAGCAAAAGTCCAAACTAAGAAAACAATGTGCAGATGAATCCTTTCACTACTTGCCTGTGTGTATAAGCATTTAAGAAAATATTTTTTAAATGTGGGATTATTTTGGTTTTGTTCAAAAGAATTTCCTGGGGCGCCTGGGTGGCTCAGTGGGTTAAGCCGCTGCCTTCGGCTCAGGTCATGATCTCGGAGTCTTGGGATCGAGCCCCGCATCAGGCTCTCTCTGCTC